GCACGGGGAGAGAGTCTGCGATACCATTCACCAGGTACTTCTAACACAGTCTTGAATTCCCTCTCCAGACAGTTTGATCACCATCAACACCTTTCGTCATCCCTCCCCAGCCAATTTTACAGCCATTCACACCTCAGCGCTTGTGTATTGGGCCTATGAACCATGTGTCAGTTAGCAAAGGAAGCCTTTTGAATGGAAGTGAAATGCCTTCAAGTCCAGTTACCTTCTACTGAAGCACTTAGGATTAGCATGAATCTACATAAACAGGGAAATGTCAGTAAATGTTATCCTTTCATCTCTGTCTTAAATCATTTCCCTTGAGCTTGCTAGTATATTTCAGAGTAAGTCAAATGTTTTACAAAAAGATATGAAAATTGAACATCCTGCATTTTGTAACTGATACAAGGTGCTGCTAGCAGAGTATAAGAAGTCAAGCAAATTGTACGCCATCAAAGCCCTGAAGAAAGGAGACATCGTGACACGTGATGAAGTTGACAGGTAAGCAATCCCTTAACTAGCCTGATTATAGTTAAAATACTTATTGACACTACACTACTGTTTTCATAGTGTCTGGGTTCTAAGAAAGACTCACGTGATTTGACTGCAGCAAATATTTACCTTGTAGTTATTAAGCAAAATGGGCAATTTAGGTCTAACTGTTACCAAGTGAAAATGTCCAACTACAAACAGTGCAAAGTAGTTTTAGCTGTAAATAAATAATCTCTTTAAATGTGTCTGTGGTTGTGTTCAGCCTCATGTGTGAAAAGAGGATCTTTGAAGTTATCAACGGCTCGCAGCATCCCTTCCTGGTGAACCTGTACGGCTGCTTCCAGACTGCAGACCACGTGTGCTTTGTGATGGCCTACTCACCTGGAGGAGACCTGATGACACACATTCACACCAGCATCTTCACTGAGAAGCAGGCCCGGTGAGCTTCTCTCTGTAAAACCAGAGGTCCACTGACACGCAGCAAACAATTAATGATGTTGGTGTTATTTCCATTTCTTCTTCTCTGTGGTCAGGTTCTATTCCTCGTGTGTGCTACTGGGTCTGGAGTTTCTCCACCAAAACAAAATAGTTTACAGGTGAGTACTTCCAAAGGTGCTTTATCACTGTTTCTTCATGCTTACTCTTTGCATGTTGGGAATGTGCAGCACAATGTGGTCTCTGTCTGCATGTTTGTGTCTGTCAGGGATCTGAAGCTGGATAATCTGTTAATGGATGCAGATGGCTTTGTCAGGATAGCAGATTTTGGCTTGTGCAAAGAAGGTAGGAAAATGGGAATTTTATGCAATTTTTTTTTTTAAACTGTGTATCGAAATTAAAAAGGCAGTAACTTTATAGTGATATCCATATCTGGAAAAATTAAAACAGGAAAATAGTTTATTCCCAGTGCACCTGCAACCTAGAATGACTTATGGAACAATAAAGCTGGACTAATGTTATCCGTTGGACAATTATCCTTTGAGCAATTACATTTTTAAAATGTCATCTTATTTTGCTTCCTTCTTTTCTTGTTTCATTCAATTCATTTATTTTTAAACCAAAATGCATTTTAGTGTTTTACTTACTTTACTTTTTAATATTTACTTTAAATAGTTAGTTTGTTTGTATGCCTGCATTTTTTGTTTTCTTTCTTGACTACATTGTAAATGAGGACTTCATACCTCAGCCTATTACAAGTTTAAATCAAGATTGCATTAATATTAATGCTGCAACCTGCCTGTAGTAAATATGTAGATATGTAAGTACAGCTGTACTGTGTGTAGGAATGGGCCATGGGGATCGCACCTCAACGTTCTGTGGCACACCAGAGTTCCTGGCTCCTGAGGTGCTGACGGACAACAACTATACTCGCAGTGTGGACTGGTGGGGTCTGGGGGTCCTTATCTATGAGATGCTGGTGGGGGAGGTGAGTACAAACTATATATAAAGATAGACACAGATAGGGAAGACCTTATCCATTGGTTTGCATTGGAGTTGGTTTAAATCCCAGGGCTGCAGCTTATGTTTGGTGCCCTACTAAAATATCAAACACTACCTTACTGGAAACACTAACTCATGTGCTAAAGGTCAGCTAATTCAGTACTGTAGTGGTGTAATATTACATAATTGAATCATGTAAGGGTCTTGGTAGTGTAACGTCTTAACCACAATCACAGTAAAACTGCACGATTATTATATCGATTCTTTGAAGAGAAGCTCCAAATGTCTGAGATAGGAAGAATCAGCCAGTACTTAATTCTGGCTGTTAATCAGCAGCCACATTTCAGAGACCCTACTTCCACTATGTGGGAACCATGTGTGAGCTGCAAATATGCACCAGAAAGACACAATATACTGCATCCTGAGCTGGTGAGGGCCTTATCCTGCACTAACTGGTATTTTGATCATTTTGTGGCAACGGACACAAGTTATCTGCAACACGAACATTTTTTTTTTTCCCCCTTTATGTGGACATGTTACCAAACACACATTTACACATCCAGCAGTTGCAGAGCAACACTACCACTGATTTGGAGTAATATTAGTTCACTTCCAGTTGTTTGTGGTCTCTAGTCATGCCTGAGATAAATAGCTGCCTCTTTACCTACTAAATCATCCATTATTTTTTACCAGCTAGTCTTTAACTGTGCCAGTCTGCTCTTTGGTGCTGAGTGAACAGTGTGCAGTGGATGTTAGTGTTTCCTGTGAAAACAGAAAACATCCTGCTATGAGAGTGAATGAAAACAGCAAAGTTGGAGCCTGACAGCTAACTGTGAGCTGTAGCTCGATATAAAGCTCTGTAAGAGCATGGTGGGCAGCACATTCAGCTGAGAATTCTGCATATTGCGAGCGATCATTTTGACCCTCACATTGCTTAAACATTGTCTTTTGATTCTCTGTTCCTTTCAAAACATCAGTTACAGCCATTTTAAAGTGACTCCTGCATTAGAACCTGATCTGAGACTCTGTCAAAAATATGTAAATCCATTATTTAATATGCAGGAGCTGCAGTTAAGCTTGGTGAGGTCTGTAGACACCTGCCAAACGCAGGCACAAAGTAACTTTAGGTAATCCACTTGTGCTGAAATGTAACCTTATAATTAAGTGTTTACAGTAGAAAGAACAGTATGAGGTTAATACAGCTGTCCTCTCTTCAGTCTCCTTTCCCAGGTGATGATGAGGAAGAGGTGTTTGACAGCATTGTTAACGATGACGTGAGCTACCCTCGCTTCCTGTCTCCTGAATCAGTGTCCCTCATTCAAAAGGTGAGCACCTGTCAAATGCTTCGTCTGACATTTCTCACAAGCTCTTTAGATTACAAAAGGCCTGGTTGTTGAAACTTGTAAAGCTGAGTACACAATGCCGAACATCAATTCTGTCGAGCACATGACTGCAGCTGAGTGTAGTTTGAAGTGCATGGATTTATGTGTGTGTCCCGTTGTACTGAACACCTTCACTGTTTCTCAATGTTTCAGTTGCTGCAGAAAAATCCTGAGTCAAGACTTGGAGCAGGAGAGGAGGATGCCTCAGCGATCAAAAGACACAAATTCTTTCAGGTCATTGTTCAGCAAAGCACTGCAACCACTTCATATATATATTGTTTGTTTGTTTGTTTAACTATACGCTGACTTGAGCAACAAGGTAGCACATCCATGCAGCAGGGTCCTTCTGTATAAAATTACCCAAATCTCAAAAAATCAGCTGATTGTTTTATGGAGAATAACTTTAGCATCTAATGAAGCCATGCCAAAGTTTAACTTCATAATAATATTTTCAGAGTTACAGGCCTTTTAACCCTCAGGGTATATCGCGGATATTTTTGTCCTTTCAGGTGATTTTTTTTGCTGAATTTTTGGCTATAACTTTTTTTGTGTTACTCCGTATGATATTATTTTTTGTTGGAAGGTTTTTTTTCATGAAAAATCATATAATTCAAATTTCAAATTTTTTCCTAGGTTAACGATACACCGGGAGCAAATTTACTACCCTTTGAGGATATTAGAGGACAAAAATGTCCTCTAATATCCTCAAAGGGTAGTAAAAAGTTACTGAGGGGAAAAAAAAGGCAGATTCTGGGGGGTTCATGTGGTTCACTGACTCTTTTTTTTTTAATGGAATGACTCAGCTCTGACTGCTTCCAAGTCCACATTGTAACTGTAGATCTCCCTCTGCGTGTTAACAGGGAATGGACTGGGACGCTCTCCTGGCCAAGAAGGTGAAGCCTCCCTTCCTGCCGGTCATTAGAGCGCCGCAGGATGTCAGTAACTTTGACGAGGAGTTCACTCGTCTCAAACCGGTCCTCACTCTCCCACGAACACCCTGCATCCTGACTCCAGAACAACAAGAAATCTTTACTGACTTTGACTTCTCTTTTATGAGTTGACCAGAGGGAGTCACTGTCCTTATTTAACAGGCAGCTCTTCTGATTCAACAGAGGCTGAGAAACTACAGTCCTGCCTTTTCCATGTTCATACCACCTCTGTGGCCTGTTTAATGCAACACACTGCCGCTCTCCCCAGGGAAATATGCCCGGCGGTGGCCAATTTCATCATACACAGTTTACTTTTTAACATTTTTTTTTTACCTCTGTCAAATGAATTTTGTATTGTTGTTTTCTGTTTGTCACCAAGCAGGACTGAAAGGCTAAACATCTACTCTGTGTCATATGTGTCTTTGCTTGCACTGCCCTCTTAACCCAAAGTGCTACCCTGTAAATAATTATGATCCTAATGAAGAAAATATAACTTAACGCCAGAAGCAATGAATGTATCTTTACATGTGATCATTTTGTCTATCTGTTGTCAACTTGTGGTGTTACTGGAAAGTAAAATGCTTAAAATAGCCAACTTTTTAATTCTACCATAGATACTTCTCAGTCAATATTTGGATATTGTAAATAATACTATCATGAAGATTATGCTTTATATAGAATAAATTTGCCTGTAAGAAAAGTGTAAACTACATGAAGGTAACTATTGATGAATAAATGTATAAATGCTGGACTTAAACCAGGAAACTTTTCATGAAACATTTATTAATTTTTAAGGTATACAGTATTTCCAAAATAGTAAAAAAAATGCATGACATGTTTGCATATAATTAGTACACACGTTGAATTAACTGAATTGTATAAAGTTCTGACAATATTGTAATCTGACTGAAAGCAGTCTGCATTTAGTCCAGCAAAACTGTTGTACGTTAAATTCAACACCACATTTATTGCTCTCTTACAAGGTTACTATTGCACAAGGAAAAGCTCAAATGGAATTACCAAACAAAGTATTGCACTCCAAAGGCTCTAAGTCCTAGCTTACGTTTCCACAGTATTCTTCCAGTCCCTCTGTTAAAACAGTTGTACAAAAGTCTACAGAAATGTTCAGGTTCAAAACAGTAAAAAAAAAAAAAAATTGTAAGCAATATAAAATAGCTTGAGATGCTGTCCACTGAAAGTCAAAACACCCTTTACATCAGGGTTGGATTAAATGCTTGGAACAACATAGATCAAATTTCCAAAGATCTCTCACTTAGTGTAACCTACTTTTGCGACAAAAACAAGTGGACCCTGTAAAACAAAAGAATAAATAATTTACCACAGGTAGCTAGAACAGAATGACACTCGCTATACTGACAACTAAAATTAGGTTGCGAGTCCAAGGAAGGGACAAAGATACCATAGCAACGACAGATCTGATTGTCTACACATGCATCAAAAACAAATATTTCTTCACTCAAATGTTAACACAATATTTGACTTATATCAAGAGTAAACTTCAGACCTCAGAAACAGTCAATCAGTCGGGTTTGCTGTCATGGTGAAACCAGGAGTTTTTCAAACATGTAATCACTCCTCACATAAATGATTCAGTGGCGCAGGCAGCAGTGAGGGTAAAGTGGGATGTGCTGTGTAAATAAAGACTAAGCTTAAGTCAACAGAGCTTCATGACTGACTTCACTAACAGCTGTAAGATCGTACACTAAAATGCCTGCAGACAATGTGGATGATTCCTGTTTTAGGAGAAATTTCAATTATACAACTTCAATTTCAAGAATAAAAGAGAAATGCTGTAGTGCTGGTTACCTGTTAGCAGCAGGAACCTCACTGTGAGGGGAGAAACAAACATTTATGAATCTGTTGACATCTATAACCTGGAAGTACGAGGAAAAAAAACAGGAAATGCAGATTGCAACAGCATAGTAAAAACAACAAAAGCAAGCAATCCACTGAGAGGAAAAGAAGGAAATGTTGCAGTTATGGCACAAGTGCCTATACAAGTGCCTATGTAGGTAAACTGCACACAAAGAGTTCATCCTCTAACAATGTGGTCAAGTGCATGATCCCAGACGCAGAAAGGTTTGTTCATGAGTGAAATCTTTGTGTTCCTAAACCTGGTCGCTGCCCTCCCTGAAGTACACCTGCTCCCACACCACTGTGCCCCACACACAGAAGAAACCCCAAAGGTTGTGGAAAGCTCCGCGATCGAACGGGTTTTCGTCTGCACCGCAGTGTTTGAGGTAGGAGATGCGGTGCCGCGACATGAACTCCCAAGTGGTGGTGTTGAGAGATACCAGGTAGAGGTGGGAGCTGAGCAGGAGCAGCACGATGAGCGAGAGCAGGGCCACCAGCACGGCCACGGCCAGCAGCACCCCGTTGGTACGCAGCCACAGCTGCCAGGTGGGTGCGTAGCTGAAGCCCGTCCTGAGGAAACAAACGGGAGAGCAGTGCTCTGTAGGCATCTGAAGCAGTAACCTGCCAGTAGAGACGAGGGGTGACAGAGTTGTACTCACCAGGCGATGTGCAGCCCCCACAACAGCACCAGCAGCTGGACGGCCAGGTAGAGCACAAACCAGCGGTGGTTCCTCTCACCAACGCAGTTCTCAATCCAGGGGCAGTGATGGTCGTAACGCCGGACACAGTGCTGACACGTCTGGCAGTGCTTTGATCTCATTGGCTGCTGCTTGAAATAAAGAGTAAATACAAATGTGCATTTAAAAAAAGACATTCATCTGATAAGGGGAGCATTCTTCTTTTAACACTTGGTTCAGAGCCAGCAGGATTTGAACAAGTCCTGGACAGTCTCATGAGAAGTAAAGCTGACTTTGAGCTCAAAATAAAGATGTCATGACATGTCAAAAACGGTAGAACTTAACTGAACAACTCTACATATGATGTGGGGTGTGTTTTCTTTCCCATTTTGAGGAGAACAGCGTAGTGAGGTCACAGGGCATCACAGAACAACAACCAGGGAGCTGAAGAACTGACCTCAAAAGTGCACGCATTTTGAGAAAGCGCCTGTTTTTATGTTTTTGGTACCATTTCGTTACAACATTTGGGATTCTTCAGATTTCAGATAGCAAACAACTACAACAAAATTGGCCTTTAAACAAAAACAATATGCCGTCTAATTTAACATAACATCACTTTTTTTTCCTGTGCTTTCCAGCTGCATTTAGCAATAATTACAGCTGATATAATGAATTAAAAAGAAGTCGGCATGGGCCTGGATGAGCAGCAGAATATGACAATGAAAATCCCTCTATTAGTTCGGAGGTGTAGAACATCCCCCGACTGCCTGCTCCAACATAATGCTAGCTAGGATGTTGTAACTAACATATAAAAGAAAAAAGAAAAGATTTAAACCATGGTCTTGGACAGAAACTAAGTGATACAGAGCTTGACTACACGGAGGCACTAGAATGAATTAAAATGTTTTTGCTAAGCATGAAGATTAATCTCAAGTGTGACTGCAAGATGTGAATGAAAGCTCCGGAAAAAATAGACAATGAGTTAAAGTTTTTCGGTTAGAATGTGTGAGACTTAAGATGTTTAGGTTCTTAGTTGAAATATAGACCTGGACAACTTTTTTCAATTATTCATACAACATTAGACTTGTTGATGTCTCATGTTAGGTTGAATTTTTAACACTTTTTTTGTTGTTTAAATTGAACATACAAAGTGCTAAATACTTATATACTGAATAAAAGAAGATGGTTGTTACAGAGGAAAGGACATGCATTGGCTGCTTGGTAACCCCTGGCCTGGAACCTGTCGTGCTCTGTGTTCACTGGAGGTGGTATGGATATGTAACATAGATCCGTGCTGCCTGCCGACCCATGACATTCTATACCACTGTTATCGTACAAGTACAGTAGAACATCAAGTGTTACATTTCAGCCTGAGAGCTCCACCAGCTACACAGAAAGAAAACAAACAACAAACACAGGCCCTGAATCTGTTTTCCTCAGTTCTTCCACAGAGCAACAACTCAGATGATCACGATTTGCTCCAATGCATTCTGGGTAGCTGTCAGATGCCTGCTTCCAGTACACATCATGATGTTGAGGTTTTCTGACATACCTGTGTCAGGTGGCTCAGACACTCAGTTCCATACAGCAACAGTGTTTTAACCCTCTGACCTCCCAGCATTTATGAGTGTTTTTGTCACATTTTCCTCACGGTGGGATTATTTTTCACTACAATACAAACTCCTGGACTTCTACTGAAACAACACAGTTATGGCTGGAAGTGAAGAGAACTCAGAAATGTCTTTTACGCAGTATAACAGAGAGTGCCATAAAAAAAAAAAAAAAGAAAGAAATTTTTGTCTACAACATTTCCCAAAAGTACCCACAGGTGTGGTGAGTACTCGAAAAAAGGGGTCTACATACTACAAATGTTGAGTAAAGTGATTTTGATTACATATCCCAATTTTAAGCTGAAATTTTGTTACTTTTCCAAACAAAACCACACGTCACACATTAACTGTCTGATTGTGTGCTAGCTGCGTTAATCAGGGTGTAAGAGCTCTCATCTTGAAACAACAAGCCCCTGCTACCTGAGCCTGCAGGAATGCTCTGGGATGCAACGAGCAGAGTACCTGAAGCAGACAGTGGCCACAGCGGCGCTGGCGCAGGGACTTGGTGGTGGGTGGGATCATGTCCTGCTGCTCCTCAGTCACTCCCAGCGTAAACTGGCACAACACAGGGGACAAACTAGTCAGAGGAGCCACAAAAATAAACTATGATTTATTATTATGTGTTAAAATAAGACTTAGTTGATTTGAATGGTTAATTCATAAACTTCCCAGTAGTTGTAAAGCAGATAAAATGAACCCCCTATTCAGTAATTGCAACAGTAAAGTGACAGTCATCTTTCTTGATGGGCCTCTGCATCGTGATTACTTTTAGCTCTGATTACTTTGCTCACAACTGTTTCAGTCTTGTCCCTCTGCTTAATAATGTACCGATGGTAAAAAAAAAAAAAAGACATGTATTGAATACATGCAGCACCTGTACTGCAACACTAGAATTGAAGAACATGTGTAAACAAATAATTAACAGTATAGTTTTGTTTGCTTCAGATAAATGGTTAATGTAATTATAGGGTTAAATAAAGAGACCCAGGCTTGACATTACAACTGCTCTGAGCCCCGATACCAACAGTTCTAACAAAGACTGATGATGTGAGTGTCAAGAGAAAAACAACCACCTGCAAATCGCTGTCATCAGACAGGATGAAGCCTGGGTCCATCAGAGACACAGCGAAGTAGAGCAGCACAGACAGCAGCACCAGCAGGACGAAGAGCACCGGCTGGACCAGCTGGCCGGTCTCCTCCTGCTTCCTCAGCTCTGGAGTGGAGACACACAGGACAACGTGCTGCTGGATCACACACTGAAGGAGCCACAGGTTGGTTAAAGCTCACACAGTCACTCATCAGACACAAACAATAAAAAGGCTTTTTTTAGACAGCTTACTCTGCTCATACTAGATATGATGTTGTCATTACAGCTCCATCAACAATGAGCCTGTCATTGCATACACTGACTACATGAGAGCCTTAAGCTGCAGGTGATGTGTGATCGTGTCTCACCTGTGTCATGAAGGAAGAGGATCAGCGTTGTGACCCATGTCAGAATCACGTGAGCTGTTCTTACCAGGAACCCTGAGCCAAACACATTCTTGAACATGGTCCTAGCATACTGGGGCCTGTCCGCGGGCAGCCAGCTCCTGGGAGAGCACCTGAGCGACCAGCTGATGGCAGCGGTGCTCAACACCGAGAAGAGCCGCCGAAGTAACGGTAATGTCGTCACAGCAGTAACGGTTATGTCGCGAGTCTGCGCCGTCCCCGGTATTTGAGTCGCAGGCTGAGCTAAGTAGAGCTCCAAAACATGACTTCAGTATTTAAGCGTATCACTGAGACAGAAATAAACACGTACACAGCTACACTGCATCACTAACGACCCGTCCCGTTATCACAGGTTTGTTTTCAGTTTTATTTTTTTTGTCGCTACCAGTCGATCGTGATTGGCCAGCGGCGGTCACATGACAGGCCACGGTAGGGCGGCCGAGAGGGACAAAAGTGTTGCTGTCATTGTTTGTCTCCACCACAGACTGTACAGGGTAATACAATTACATGCTTTTTAAACAATGCATTCCAGTCAATAAAACAAACAAACAAAAAACCCAATACAAATCTGTAT